TTGGCTGCTCGCTTTGGATATCGTTGGTCGCGGCTTTTAAGCGAGTGTGTGCGGGTAATTATAATGCGCCATAGTCACGCCAGGCAAGCTGCATAAATATTGAAATTGTATAATAACAAATGCCACAGAATAAATAAGTCAGCCAACTGTAAAAATAATACGTAATAACAGCGATAGCAACAGTAACAGCAACAGCAACAGCAACAAATAACCAACAACTGAATATATATTTGATGTGTGTTTCTATTTTCTAATTTTCCAATTTGGAAATGTGCCGCCTTCTGGCATACAAAAGTATCGCTTTTGGGCCTTGTTAGCCATGTTCTTTTGTGTTTCATTTTTATGGCAATTTTAAAGTCGAGCTGCTGTTAACATTTTGGGTTCTGTGTGGTCCCGTTGTTGTTGTCGTTATCTCGCTTTTATTTTAATTTCTTTTATGACGCAAGTTGAGTTTTTGAAAAACCAATAATGCGCCACTTCAACAGTCAAAACACAAAATTGGACCATAAAAATGGCATAAAAATGCAAAATGAAAGCTAAACGATGAACAGCCCCGCTCCCTTGACCCGCTCCACAAGCAGCACCCAGCCCAGTCCAGCCCAAACCAATCCACTGAGCGGTGCGTCGTGCGGTGCATAAAATAAGTAATATCGTAAAAATTACAGGAAATAAAAATCGCAACGTAGATACGTGCAAGTGCAGGAGAGCCAAAGCTCTAGTCATAGCCACAGCCAAATTCAAAGGCAGACGCAGACGTGGACACCGCCGGAGATGGAGGTGGAGGTGAAGGTGGAGTCGCGACCAGAGTTGGCCAACTTTCTCGCTGCCTGAAATTGGCAGTAAAATTATGGCAGACAGCAAACAGAAACAGAAACAGAGAAAGAGAAAGAGGAACAGCAAAAGAGATGAGGGAAATTGTAACAGACGCCAATAATGCGGACACATAAGGGTAACAAATGTTGGCCAGCTTGACAGCCAGTTCAAGTTCAAGTTAGTTATGATACGACCAAATTCAGGCAAATGTTGTGGATGTGAATAAATTTAAGTAAACTAACTGCTCTTTTGGCAAAGCCGAATATTATATACCTGCACAAATCAAAGTCAAATTGCACATATCTAAACGTAATTATTAATTTAAAGATAGTACTTAGTTGGCAAACAGATTGAAGATATCCGATAAAGTAGTCGGATACTAAAAATATTTAGCCCAATTATGAGAAGTTTAATAAGAACAGTAAACGGAAATATTGTCGAAAAATTCTTGGAATATAGTAAAGATTCTCGGGCAAGAACTTAGCTAAAGACCAATTGACAGATATATACCATAATAATCCAATAGAGCGCACTATGATAAAGATATATAAATAATTTGGTATCATTTGCAGAGATTCTAGTTATCTAGTTTCCCTGAAAACGTAACACATTTCGTGGTAAAATTAAATTACCCAGTGCAAGGGCATATATATAAGGCTTTGCATTTGGGATTTGGTTTCATGAATAATTCATATCATATTTTTGGGCATATTTAACGTAATCGAATTGAAACGTCTCACAATATTTCAGGTTGAAATGCCTTCAACTAAACTAACACCGAGTGCTTTGTGTTATCCAAGCAATTGGATACTCTACTTGGCATCATACCATTGCCAGACTTGATATTCATGAATAAAACAACCAAGCCAATAGCGACGACAACGACAACGACAACGAGAATACTGTAGTAATCACAATAACAATGCATATCCATGTTATAGACATTTCCTTTACAAAATCAGCAATGCAATTGAAATTCGTATTACACACTTTGTGTGTGTGTGTGTGTATGTGTGTGTGTATGGCCCATAATCATTTCAAATGGCAAATTATGACGGCGAGGGGCCACAACAGCAACTACAGCAACATAAGCGAATGGCAAATGGCAAGCAAATGAAATGAGCTTTTAATCAATTTCCGGCATTAAGGCGCACACAATCATTCAACGATATTCAAATGTGGTAGTAGTAGTTATCATTGTTGCTGCTGCTGCTGATGTTGCATTTAATTAACAAACAATTTATATTCATAAACCTCAATCGGTCACATGCAAATGCGCATGGGAGCCGGGAATGTTGCATAGTGTCTACAAAAAATAAAAACGTACATTGTAATTGCTGCAAGGCAATTGACAATATATAAAAAAATAAAACATTTAATTTTTCTTAAATAATTTGTTCTAGCTTAAAAAAATACGTAAAATTTGCGAGAAACTCGATAACAATGTAAATATAATAATTAATTTTTATGTATTTTTAAAACAATGTTTTATTTTTCAAAGATAAAAAATGCTGCGATTAGAATATATTTTCCAATTAGATTAAACATAAATTATCTACAACTTAAGACTACTAAACAAAATTAGTTCATTTTTTTGAGAGGTGAGTTTAATTCACAAAAACTTTCGAAACTATATGCGATGAAAAATTCGTGATTAATATACACATATATACTTTTAATTTATTTAAAAAAAAAAACAATTGTAGAACACAGAATAGATAAACATAATCGATTTAGAACTTACGACGACTAAATAAAAACAGTGAATTATTTAGACACGTGAGTTTCATTTGCAAAAACTTCTGGAACTGTAAAAAAAGTGCAATAGAATATTAAAAAAATCCTTAAAAAATATATATATCTAAGGGTATTTAATTAGATAGTAATTTTTATAGTTTAATATTTGTAAACTGTTTTCATTTCAGATCGTTTCCAAGCGTGGCAAGCTGAATGTGAGAACGAATATTATGTGCGCTGGATGCAAGTGTATATAATTAATATGAAATAATGTGGATGTAATAAACATTGCAAATGCGTGCATGGAAATAGTACAAGTTTCTCGCTTAACTCGATGCAGCGGAACAGAAAACAGCAACAAGCAAGCGAGCAATGTGCAACATGACAGCTTATTGGATACTGCACAATGGCTGGTAAGCCCCAACCCACCCTTCTCTGCTCTGCCCCTCTGCAAATCTGTTGCAAAACAAAGCGGGTGCATTGTTGTTGTTGGCGCTGCTTTTGCTGTTGCTGCGGCTGCTGTTGTTGTGGCTGTTGCTGCCACGTGTTGGCAACATATGCGAGCTACATCAACAACAGGAACAGCCACAGTGGCCTGAGCTGCTTTTGATGGCCACAATTCGACATGGGGGTCGGAATCGCTACTCTGGGAATGGGCGTGGCACAGACGCTTGCCCAATTTCCTAATGCCCCTGACACACAATTATCCCGGGGGCAAGGCAGCTAATGCACCTGGATGGGACAAGCGTACAGCAAGTAAGCTTAGCAAATCATTAATTAGGCCTGCCGAAAGCATGTACTACATATAAAACATATAAAACAAAAAGAAGATGAGGAAGCAACATCAAGTTATTATAATGGACGCATGGGAAATAAACGCAAAAGCCTTGCGAACATCTCTCTAATTAGCATGCTCGAAATGTTGCCTGTTTTGTTGTTTATTTTGGCCAACCAATTGAGGCGTGAGCGTGAAACAGAGAAAACGAGATAATGCTGCCAATAAGAGGATAAAACAAACCAGAAAGTACAGGCAAGCTCAGGTCGAAAAGGGCAAACAAATGTAAGACTAAAGGTCAGCCAAGTAAATAGTACAACTAAGCCAATAGTGACATTAACAGAGAAGTCTTAGAACTACAAAGCAAACAAGGGCAGCGAATAAGCAAAGGTAAAGCACAATTAACAATTTATAAATATAATATGTGCCCTAGAAACAGCAGAAACAAGCATTTAAGTGTTTTAAATTCAAAGACATATATTTTATTTACATTAAATAATACAAATATCGAAATTAAAGTGAACATTTGATTACAAATAATGCAAAAAGATGCAAATGAACTATTCTAATATGTGGATCATTTATTATCACATTAATAGACCACAAGACTACATATTTTTATAGAATGCATTGACAAAGATGCCAATTAACTACTAAAACTTTTACTAATAATATATTAATAGGTCTCAAGCATGAACTTGTATGATCACGCTAATTGCGCTTAATACATAAAAGATATATTTTGTAACAGATTATTTTTGAGTAATACTTTTGAAAATACTATACATAAGTAATGAATTCCAAATTGTACAACTTGTTAAAGGCGATCCTCCAGCAGCAGCTTGTGCGAACGCTATTTATAAGTGTAGAAACTTTGGGCAAAACCACAGCACAAACTCATTATAGCCGGCGTCGTTTAGTCCAGCCATAAATTACCATCAAGCTATGTATAATAAAGACATTTTCTATAGAGCTGGCCAAGAAGCCAAAGCAAAAGCAGAAGCAACCAAAAAGTGACTGCAAACCGCAAAGAAAAAAACAAAAAAGAAGGAAAAACTCGCCTTTGCTTAGTTATTTGATGTTTGCCATTGTCATTGTTTTTGTTGCTTTTGTTGTTGTTGTTACTTGGCCAAAACGTGCAATTAAATGCTATGTAGAAGCGGAGATGGCCAGGCTATAAGCTATAGCAGTTGCTTGCTAAATTCACAGCAAGAAATAAAAGAAAAGAAACAAAAAACAAAAAAAAAAAGCCCGACGCAAAGTCAGCAAGAAAACTGCTCAAAAAAGGCAGCAAATAAATAAACAAATAAAAGGAAATGCAAGAAATACAACGAGAAGAAGAAGAAGAAGAAGCAGAAAATTACAGCTCACAATGAACAGCAATTCACAATGCATATTATTGATTGCCAGCCACAAAGATACAAAGATACATTTAGCAATGCCACACAGATACACACACTTGCACTCGCACTTCCACTCGTGGGTTTTTACTCTCAGTCAGGTTACGTTGCACGACGATCATCATAATGATCTTTTCGCGAAAGAGAGAGATGAGGTTTGGTAAGGGGGGGCTTAGGGGTTACTCTCAGCAGCGTAGTTCTTGTCGTTTCTTTCCGCTTATCGTGCACTGTCATTGACATTGGGATGCGCAATTTGCAATCTTTGCAATTAGTTTTTCATTTTTGTTTGGGCGAAACGCGTCGCGAATTTGCGCAAATTAGCAAAATAATTTCACAACAAGTTGTCACAAATTAATGCGGTAAATGCGAATCATACAAATTGTAATAATAAATATATACATTGTATATATTCAGCAATTGCATAATACTAGAGACCAATGTGCGAAAGTCGCGACTCAAATTGTCAATTGATAGTCAAGTTAATTTCTGGTTTATGTATATATTCATTTGTTTGGGGCTCGATACGTGAATTGCACTTGCAAATTACTAATTGCCTCACGATTACTGTGTGTTAGTTTGTGCATTTGTTTTAAAGTTAAAATGTGCGTTTGTCGGAAGCAGTTAGCTCATTAGAAGCGTCCATAAATAGGCGGCAATTGTCAACGTTAAGAACGTCAAACAAGGCGGCGTATACGAGGCAGCAGTTGAGCAGTTTCTCTCAGACTAATGCATATGTACATAAGCACGCCTTTGCCTTTTACTAATGCGCAAGTCGCAATTGGGTCATGCCGATTGCCAGCCACAGAGGCAGAGGGCAGCTTGTCAAGATTGCGACACAAGAGAAGCCTTGCTCCACTTGTGTACTTTGTACGTGTTGCACTCGGCGGCAATGGCAAACGCATTGCAAACGAAACCAAAAAGGTTGCAGATGCGGATCCTTGGCAAATGCTTATCAAACATTATATAAACTAAACAGACATTAATTAAACAGAAATCTTAAATATTTATTTGACTCGACTGCAAATCGTTTTGTAAATAAAAGGTGTGGCAAGCTTTTTATAATATGAATATATTCTTATGTGAACCAATTTTCCCCTAGATTGAAAATTCGAGAAACAAGTCAAGTAAAAATGAATGAATTTAGAATACATATTTTTTTCTGTGTATTCTAATGTTTTCTTTATATTATCGAGTATTAAGCCTTTGTTGATTTAACTTTAAAAGTAAATGGTTCTTTTTGGTACTTCCATCGACTAATAAGTCTTCACCGATTTAATTTTGAAATAAAATGGGTCTGTCTTAAATCCATTAAAGTGCTGTAGCTTAAAAGGAATACCTAGGTCATTAACAGTATAAGTTCAATGTCAATATGGGTAAACTGGCTACAACAACGAATTAATTAGCTTCTTGATTAATTATACCTACTAAAATTCTGTTGAATTCTAAGGTAAGCTGATACATTCTAAGATCTCTGTTCCAACGAAAGTTAAATAACACAAGCCACAAAGAGAGCTGAAAGCTAACGTTATTTTCATAAAAGCTTTAGTCAAATATTAAAATATTAAAACTAATCAAAAGAATTTATATCAAATCTAATTAATATGAGGATTTGAAAGAAAATGTACAGTTTTATTCGAGTTTCCTCGAAGAGAATACATACGAGCAGCATTGGAAATAACCAAATGACATAACTGATACCGTTTACTAAAATTCGAATCAAATGTCTATATGATATAGGATATATTTATATACTTCTATTTGTAGTCAACACTTTAATTATACTATATTAATTGAATGATGTGAAATTGATTGCCTGAATCACCTATCAATTTTCAACAGCTCACTGCACAATTCCAATTAATGAAATTGGCTTTGAGAATGGAGAATCAAATTACCTACACACAGTAGAAAAACAGCAAAAAAATATAAAAAAAATCAACAGAAACAGAAACGAGGCAAAATAAAATAAAACAGGTAAAAACGATTAACTTATTCGAAACGAAAATTATATACTCTTGCAAGCCGAAGTCAAACAGCCGACCTCTAAATATCATTATAGACTTGAATGAATATAGTAATGTTGATTAATTGTTACTCAAAGTACTCAAAGCATAATATTACTTTCAAGCAGTTAATTTCGTACTGAATCTTTTTCATACAATAACTCATGTTTAAGTTCCTTTTAATGCGTTACAAACTTCATTCGAAAATTCGAATACTTCTTCCAGGGTAAAAGCAAAATCGAATAGGAACTGGTTTTAATTTCGGGACTGTACGACTTGCAGAACTTTTTGCGTAGGCCCCAAAGGGCCGTCACATCGACATTAGCATTAACATTAATCATGACAACATTTGCCATGCAATTAACCAAATGAAGCCTGCATTTAAGTGCTGACAATGCCAGCGGTGTTGGAGCCGGACAACTTGACGCAGTCATTAGGCTAATGTGGTCGATAAGTAACTAGGATGGGTGCGGGGGGATGGGGGCATCCGAGCAGCTTGATGTACATTTAATACCTATTGGGTTCGGTCTGACTTCAGTGGGGTAGAAGACGAACACAGCAATTTCAATAAGTAGTTTATACATCACCTTTCCTTATGCTCGTACATCAAAAACAAATTACAATTAATGTGCAATTTTTTAATTGCAAATCATATTCATCACATCAATATATTTATATACATTTTTGATATACACAAAACAAATTTGAATGAAAATTTAATTTTACTTTGTGACAGTAGCATGCCTTGGAATATATATAGTTATTAGAAGCAGAAAATGTTAATATTCATAAATTTAATTTATTTAACAATACATTTTAAAAGAAGTATATTTGAAATTAAATTTTTTTACTGTGTACATATTTACATAATGTGTCTAGATACAAAATCAAGCGATAGACGATCATGTCGGAGGCCACAATTCAATAAGTCAACCAACAGTCAGTTGACGGTGCTGCCAGTTGTAGCCTTTTATGAAAATATAATTGACAATGCACTTAAAAGGCCAAAGGCCGACATGACAAACCACTGACTGCCCTCCCTCCTTGCTAACCCCCTTGGTCAGCAAAAATGCCAGACAAAATGAAATTATAATTATTAATCAGAATGGATATTTTTCGCAACAGTGCAAAAATATTTTAAGCATAAGTCGAAAATGGCACCGAAATTGCGCATACGCCGCATTGTGCGTCTGAAATAATAATAAAAACGAAATGCAACCACAATGCACAGCATATAAATATTTAACCTTATATTTGGAAAGTCGACAACTGAAATGTGCATACTCTTACCAGCAGCATTTAAGTAATTAGTTAATTAAGTATTAATTATTAAAAATATGTCATAATGTGGAATAAAACATTTCAAATAAAGTACACCAGATAAGTAATTAATTCTATGTAATAATAATAAAAAAATATTAAATATAATATATTAAAATAACGTAATCTTATAAGTAATTAAGCAAATTTGATTATGACTTCATTTTAAATCCCTTTTTTATAAGCCTATTTAATATAATGAAACATTTCATTGATTTTTAACAAATTGAGGGTGTTTTTTTAACTATTGGAGAGAGCATATCTTTGTTGGTATTATTCACCTAACTTATGTGTTTTCCAGTCGTTGGCAATCGGATGAGGTACAGGTGGAGGGTAGAGGTTGGAGGGGATGAGCAGGCAGGAAGTAGCTGCCTTTACAGTTGCAGTGCTCGGCCCCCAAAACGAAAATCATGTGCTGCGAGCATGATTTATTTCGTCAATTTATGCCCAAAAGTGTAAAACGATTTTCTACCGTACCAAATGAGAAATTATGATGTAGTCTATCATTTATATGCACGGGGAGTGGTTTCGATATTTCACTATCAGTGTGACTGACTCACTGACTGACTGACTGACAGACTGATAAACTCATCCATATCTTAGTGATGCTGAAATTTTGCAATTTCGCCAAGCGGAAATTACATTTAAATTGAATTATAATCTGAATATAAGAATGGAATTTATATGCGATTTATTGCTACACAAATGTTCATGTCATTCGTGTGAGTCTGTGCGTATGTTTCAGTGTGAGGGTATTAAATTCTAGTAGCTAATGGCATACATCTGTTTCCATGGGTAATTGTAAAATTGTGAAAGCTATTCGGATGCATGAGGAAATAACTTAACCCTGCAAGTATTGCAAATATTTATTGACTTACATGGAGACCTAAAAGTATTTAACGAAATGAACAAATTTGTTTATTTATTTGGTTGTTTTAAATTTCATAGAAATCACGTTAGACTTTTGTTTTGCTCCTCTCATAATCGTTTAACTAAAACTGTTGAAAATTTGTATAAAAAGTTGAATTTAAAATCCTTAATGTAATCATAATCAGATTTGTAATTGAGTTATTTTTTTTGCATTCCATTTAAATATTTAATCGGATGTTAAAAATGTTTTAAATTCAGAGTTCAATAAACTTGTCAGACATTTAGTTGCTTGCACAAATATAACAATTTATATTTACATTTTAGTTAAATGTGTTTGTTTGCTGTATAAAAATGACAAAAATGTAAATGTATATATCATAATCCTACACACCCACACACTGCAAACACAATATCTGAACAATGAAATACAAATTTTAATTTATTTAGCATATGGCAAAAATTCCGCAAGTCCCGACAAAACCCCAATATAAAGCGCACCAGCAACAGCAACAACATTGAAAGCCCGTATTTGGATTTGAATATTTTTGCTATCTGTAAAAAGTAGAAAACCCACATTCCTATTTAATCGCATTGTTCTGGATGCGGGACTCGCATGCGACCACAAAATGCCAGCTAATTAAATTAATACGCAATAAATGCGTAATACAAATACAATCAACCAGCAACGCAAACGGAAATCCCAAAGCGGTTACAATAAAAAATGTGAAAAGGCCCATCATGAAAGGTTCGCAGAATATTGGCAATATTGTATACATTTTATTTATTTTGGTTTCGATTTGCTTTTGTGGCAAGTCAATTAATATCTGGCCAGCACATAATAATTTCCAAGTTATTAAAGTTGAAACGATTGCAAAAGTGTCAAAATAACATTTTCTTTTTAAATAACTTTTTTTTGGCTTAGTCTGATTATTGCCCCGTTAAATTTTTTGCTTAGACAAGCAGTTCAGTTTTAGCACTCTTCCTTTTTTTGTACCTAAAAGTGTTTGCTCGATGTGCAAATTATGCAAATGCTAGGTAAGCGCAGACTTGGTTAAGGTTTTGTGTATCTTCGAGATACTAGATACCAGAGACGCCAACAACAATTCTTATCGCATATGCATTTCTTTAGCTCACGACGCCGACGCCAACAGCGATAAATGCAAATC